GTTGGGGTTTCAGCTCAAAAGTGCACAGGCGAGCTAGTGTGTGATGCTCCTCTCGACTCCTTTGCTTCTAGGATCTGTTATCTTCTCTTATCGTATCCTTTCTTGTCCTGTCCTGTCCTGTCCTGTCCTGTCCCTTCTTGTCCTGTCCCATCCCATCCTGTCCTGTCCTGTCCTGGCATTTGTCTTCCCTCCTTCCCTCATCCTCTCTCCTCTCTTCTCATTGCTCTTCAGCTTTGCGCCGCCATCAGCCACTACGAGTCTCTCGTGGACATGCTCGAGCAGGGATACGGTGATCGAGCCCAGCACAACCCCAGCAGAGGTCCAGCTAGTGACAACTGGATGTCAGAGACCGCCCTTATCCTCGAAGACGATGCCGTGTTTGACCTCCAACTTCCATCGCGACTGCCGTCCTACATGAAGTTCGACCTGCTCCTTGCCTTTTCCTCTTCCTGATTCTCCTGCTCCTGCTCCTGCTCCTGCTCCTCCATCCCTTGGTCCTCCTCCTCCCAGGAAGCTTGACCCGGACTGGGGCGTCCTCTTCACCGACGCCGCGACCTCCTGCCATTGGTGGTCCTCCCCTCCCCCCGCTGCGACTGACATGAACGCCTGCTGGGCACCAGGTGGATCAGGTGCGAGGATCTGCCGCATCCTCGTCCTATCCCTACGGTGTTCAAGAGGTCTGCTTGCTGCTTGCTGCTTGCTGCTGCTGAGCAGGCCGCCAGGTACATCCCGGGGGGTGCGTTTGGAGGAGCGATCCTATGGCACCAAGTACCACCTGCTCCCTTGCTAGACTCCGTCGTGACTGACATCTAACGTGCTCCTCCCTCTTCCTCCCCTCCTCTTCCTCCCTCGTCTCTTACCCCCCCCCCTTACGCGTCTTGTTCCCACTGCGCTTCTTCACCTCCCTCCCACCTCTCCTCCCCCTTCCTCCCTTCCTTCTCGCATCCTAACCCCCCCCTTTCCCTGTCCAACGCAGAGGGCGGCAAGGGCGCTCACTTCGACTTTCCTGCCCTTCTGCGCGCCGTGGGACATGGAGATCGAGTTTCACTTCCAGGCGATTCTCCTGCCTCCCTCTCAGTCCATAGCTGTTGACGGCTTCCGGCAGGTCCACAACATCTCCGTCTTCTTCGCCTCGCCGTCGCTCATCGTACAAGTGACGCGCCGCAAGCACGACGGGGAATACCATGTTGATCCTGCTGCCAGGGCTCCTTCCTCAACCCTGGCGAGCTCGGCTTCACTCCCTCCTCCCTCCTCGGGGAGAGATCAGGTTAGCGGTGACGGCCAGCGGCTGGCTGATCTCTGATGTTGCCCCAGGCGAGACTGTAGCTCCAGTAGCTGACGGAGTCTGCGACACTTTCAGCTTCTTCGACTGTCATGCAGAGAAGGTGCTTCCTCCCCCTCCCCCTCTGAGCTCAAAGACTGCCGTTAACCCAGGAATGGGACGAGTGCGTCGCCCTCAGGGAGAGGTGCAGAGGAGAGAACTGATCTTTGACCTCTCCCTTCTATCCATCTTTCACTTCTCACGATATTTAAATCACACACTCTCTCCGAATCGACTGCACGTACGGACAGGAGCTCAACAGAGAGGGATCAAATGCCTTAGTGGCGATGTTGTGCTCTCCGACGTCTGCCGCCGCGGTCAGGGGAGGAAGGATGGAGGGCATTGCGATCCTTACCGTGCAGACGTCCTTGTTCTCGACCTCGAGGAGGCTTTTTTCCTGATTGCGCTGCTCGGTGAATCTAACACGATGTCAATGCCATCGTCGTATCATGCAAAGACTCATCAACCTCTTAAGATCTTCTAGGGCCATCTTGGCGACGGCTCTTGAAGTAGCTCGTTTTATCATCTGCACGTAAGCATTCAGCTACTGAGTTCACCTGCAGTCAATACAAGACCACCTTAGGAAGGAAGAAACCGGGCTCGACCCTCAGCTTGTATACAACCTTGGTTCTCTCCGGACCGAGCGAGATGAAGTCATACCTTCCATCAAGCTCTTTGATCCCTCCCTCCGTGATGTGCCAACTGAGGGGCGTTGCTCATGTTACACCGCAAGCACCATCTCCCAACAGAGCACTACCTCATGCACCGAGGCTTGTCATATGTGTACTTCATCTTGTTCCGCGAGGTGAAGCCAAAAATCCCCATTACCTTCGCAAACGCATCAGGGGGAATGGAATGAAGGGGCACGGGGGGCTCACAAACTCTACAAGCACGGCCAGGCCGTCGCTTGCTCGTCTTTCGAGGACCTTGACCGCCTTTGTGCACCCTGCCCACTTGGGATAGTCTTCATAGGTTGTTGCTGCTGTGAAACAGTCTTGCGCCGAGGCCTCTATGGTGATCGATTGCTCAACTTTGTTCTCATTGTCGTCATCGTCTAAATCCATCTAACCAAGGCACCATAAGGATCCGATACAGGTCGACAGAAGCAATGTACCTCAAGGTTCTCGGAGAACTTCTTGTCCTCTTGCACGCTGATATCCCAGCGAGAGTTCATCCCCACATCCTTCGGAAGGGACCTCCTATCCTGAGAGGTTGATCGCTGCATCAAGTGCATGGTGGAGAGATCAGGGAACAGTGCTGTTCCCGGTAATGGCTGCGACAAGACATCGGGGAACAAGATGCTTGCCCAACCACCTCTAAGTCTGATCGAGCTTGCGTGGGTTGAGCAGCATTCAAAGCATGCTGAAACCAAGACAGCGCTTAGCGCTGCCCTAGAACATCTGAGATCGATCCTCATCTTGAGCTATGACAACGTGCGCGAGGACCAAGAAAATGCCCACGGGCTATTCAAATGAGGCCTCGCTTGAACAATGCTTACAACTCGTTAACTGGCATCCGACTTGCCTCCGACCGCTTAACGATCCTTCTCTGCTTCGAAGCAACGAGTAAGTTTCAACCTGCAACAACCGAGTTTCATCACTGGTCATCTTGGAAGAACGTCTCTCGACTAGTCACTGCAGTCGCTCTCATCCAAATTCATCACAATCACTCTCATCGGACCCCTAAGTCTCAGCCCCTGCTGAAATTTCCAGAATTTCTTTCTTTCTCTTCTGGTGGATCAGATTCTCAGGCTCTCTACCTGCACCGAATAGAAGAGCATTTGCATGCACTTCACTCGTACAGAACTAGTAATTCTTCAAGGACTCATTACATAGAGCCCCACTGCCTTTGCTAGGCTAATGCTGTACCCCGATGTCTACTTGAAATTCCTGCAGTCTCCTTCCACCGCAGTCTCAAGCTCACCTTTACCATCCACTCATTTTCTTTGAGCAGTAGGTACATACCTTCGAGCTTTTCTTTTCCTCTTTTCCTCTGCTCCCCTCTCTGCTCCACCCGCTCCTGCTGCTCCGCGGACATCTGCTCCTTGTCCTATGCTTGGATTTCTCACACCCCTTCCTACCCTTCCCTCACCTCCATCTTCACAGATCCTTCCAGTCCATTTCCACCTGTAGCTCCTCCTCAAGTTTCTGCTAAGCCTTGATCTAAACTCGACCATGCGCATGCTGTTATGCCCGCCATATCCTTTCTCCCTCCACTACATTCGCCGCCAAAACATGATTTACGTCCTCCGATGCTGTCTCCTACCCGTACCTTTGTAAACCACCCCACCACCGGGCTCATCGCCTCAAGGTCATTCCTACCCCCCTTGGTCCCTCATTACACCCACCCTCGTGTTTCCACCCCTACCTCCTCCTTGATACCTACCGTCAATCTGGACATCTCTTTCTGTACTGTTGTACCTCATGAGTCCCCGTACTTTTACTACCCCCACCCATTTGAAACATTCTCAATGCCAACTTGTTCCCCTTGTCCCTCATTTCCTCGCTATCCCCCACCCCCCACCCCCCATGAGGTAGGCACAAACGATCTGAGTACCCGTAGAAATAAGCATCAATAATGTGGTAAGGGTATACACCCTTGCTCAGGGTCTGTACCCCTACCTACATACATCCACGGCCCCACCTTCACAATTATTGACCCCACCCTTCCAAGCTCCCTGAACCAACCCCTACCCCATCAAGATCATCCAAGGAGTTTAAAATGAACCGGTACTCTGCCTTTAAAAAATTTCCCCCACCCCACCCCACCCCACCCACTCTCGTGCCCTACACACCAAAAATTCTTTTCTCCTTTACCCACAGTACCCCTCTCATGACAGGAAAAATCACCCCACCCTGTGCTACCTCAGCTTCAAGAATTGCCCCAGCGGCCGTGACCCGGAGCTCCGAGTCACGTTGAGTAAAAACGTCCCGGGCCCGGGCCCGGCCCGCCGGGATACGATCGAATAGCGCCGCTCCTTGCACGATTTTGACCAAAAATGGTTTCGAGAAGTTTGATACGCCCCATCGATTGATGGGGTGGGTGGGTTCAGAATGTCTTGATTGTGGGTACTTTCATTGGTATTTACGGGGGTGCTTGCAAACTCAAGCGCGGAAGGGGGTGGGTCTTGGTCTCTATTCTTGGTCCAATTGAATGTTTTAGAACCAAGTTATACAATTTGTACCGTATAAATATTTTACTACCAGCTTGTACACCGGCTGCTGTGATAGCAGTACGAGAGGCTCATTTTAAGTTCGAGTACCAGAATTCAAATCTGTAAACCATCAGAAGTTGTTTAGTTTGAAAATATGAAAATAAGTTTGGGAAAGTTCTCTTCATGTTTCAAAACTGAGAGACAGTTTCGGTCAAATTTTGTATAAAACTCTCCTGTTTGTTTAGAATAAGGAGAATGGATTATTACAAGTACAGTACTTTTTATATCTTATTATAATAACAACTAAAAACTCCAGCACAAATACATTCCAGTAGCAAATGGCGTAAATACGTGGTACTGTAATTGATATTCTTTTCGCCATATTTTGGACACAAAATAGTTGGCGTGACATAAAATGCTTTTGTTGGACCTAGGACTTTATTTCCTTGTGTTGAATCGGAAAAAGTGATATATTTCACTGCCTAGTTTTTCCAATGACGCCAACTAGAAATTTACCGCTCCGTATTTTGTGCTCGTGCGGTCCCCTGCCCTGTCATCGCCGAAAACCTCAAGGTAGCGCCATGCGTTCCTGGTGGCGATGCTTGCATGCTCTGCACGCACGCCCCAGCTCTCCTGCCCAGCTCTCCCCTCATACAAGCATATCGTTTCTTCTCCTGCATCTTGCTTCTCATCCCCTTCTCTCATTCCGTTCTGTTTACCATTGTTGTATTCAATGTTGCAATGCTGGTGTTCCATGCGCGATCTCCTGCGCTTCTCTTGAATGTTTCTGTTGTCTCCTCGAATCAAAATTGAAGTAGAATGTTGTTGATCGTCAATGTTGCTTGCCTGTAACGAAGACTGCGAGCACTTTGTTGGGCGGGATAAGAGTGATATCGTAACTGTTCTTGTTGTCGTAACTGTCCTTGTTGATACTGCAATTCAATTCTCGCAAGCGTCGTTCGTTCCATGACTCGAGTTCTGATCGTTTGCTGCAGACTTCCCCAGGTCTTGCCAAAAACCAAAAAAAACCACACCGCATCCGATCCCCACGGTTGCGTTGTTGAATTCACCGAACCGACCAAAAAAAAGCCCCAAACATCTCCACGACCATGGCAACCACCACCGCTGCTGCCAATGCTACTGCTGCTGCCCCCGTCACGCAGCCCCCCCTTGCTTCGGCATCCCTGTATGTCGGTGACTTGGACCCTAACGTCACGGAGCCCCAGCTCTTCGAGGTTTTCTCCGTCGTTGGACCTGTTGCCTCAATCCGTGTTTGCCGTGATGCTATGACCCGTCGCTCCCTCGGATATGCTTACGTCAACTTCCACAATGTCGTTGATGCCGAGCGTGCCCTCGACACCTTGAACTACACCCAGATCAAGGGCAAGGCTTGCCGTATCATGTGGAAGCATCGTGACCCGTCCATCCGTAAGTCTGGAGCTGGAAACATCTTTATCAAGAACTTGGACAAGACCGTCGACACCCGTACTCTTCACGACACTTTCTCCCAGTTCGGCAACATCTTGTCCTGCAAGGTTTCCATGGATGAGCATGCCAACTCTCGCGGCTTTGGTTTCGTTCAGTTCGAGACTGCTGAGGAGGCCAATGAGGCTATTTCCAAGGTGAACGGCATGCTTTTGGAGGACAAGCGCCTCTTCGTGGGACCCTTTATCCCCCGTGGTGAGCGTGAGTCTACCAACGGAGAGCGCCGCTTCACCAACGTCTACGTCAAGAACTTCCCTGACAACGTGAGCGATGATGACTTCCGCAAGTCCTTCGAGAGGTATGGAGAGATCACCTCCTGCAAGATCATGAGGAAGGAAGACGGCACCTCCAAGTGCTTCGGATTCGTCAACTTCAAGGAGGCTGATGATGCCAAGAAGTGCTGTGAGGAGATGAATGGCCAGAAGCCATTCGGTGGTGAGAGGGATATCTACGCTGGACGTGCTGAAAAGGAAAGCGAGCGCAAGGAGAAGCTCAAGAAGAAGTACGATCAGATCCGTATGGAGCGCTTGAAGAACAACCAGCTCGTCAACCTCTACATCAAGAATCTTGATGACACCATCGATGATGAGAAGCTTCGCCAGACCTTCGAGCAGTTCGGAACCATCACCTCCGCCAAGGTGATGCGTGACAAGGATCGCCCCGAGGTTTCCAAGGGCTTCGGTTTCGTCTGCTTCGCTCAGCCTGAGGAGGCTACTCGTGCTGTGACCGCGATGAACGGACAGATGGTTGGCACCAAGCCCATCTACGTTGCCCTTCACCAGCCCATCGAGATCCGTCGCCAGATGCAGGCTGCTCAGGGCCAGCGCCAGAACCTCCTTCCAAGGTTCCAGATGCAGGGAATGCCTATGCCACAGATGATGCCGTTCACTCGCACTGCTCCTCCGGGCGCTCAGGGAGTGTTCATGTTCCCAGGACAGATGCCGGGACAGTATCGTCAGCCCTTCAACAACCGCCAGGGCCAGTACCCTGTCCAGGGACAGCAGCGTCGTCAGGGTGGCGCCAACTACAACGCCCAGCAGCAGCAGGCTCGTGGACAGCAGCAGCAGGCTCGTGGACAGCAGCAGCAGACCAACGCCCGCCAGCCAAAGGGCGCCGTTCCTGCTCAGCAGCCACAGCGTGTTCCTGCGGCCCCTCAGGCCGTTCCTGCTCAGCAGGCTGCTCCGGCTCCACAGGTTCCTCCTTCTGCCATGAGCAAGGAGCAGCTTATGGCCCTCTTGGTCAATGCTCCTCCAGCACAGGCCAAGCAGATCCTCGGAGAGCGTCTCTATGCTCTCATCCAGGCGGAGCAGGGACCCCTTGCTGGCAAGATCACTGGAATGCTCTTGGAGGGGCTTGACAACTCCGAGCTCATCGCTCTCATCGACGATGCTGAGGCTCTTCGCAGCAAGATCCAGGAGGCCTTGGCAGCCCTCGAGGCGCACGCTCAGCAGCAGCAGCAGGCGGCTCAGCACTAAATGGAGTGAAACAAAAAATTTGCTGGGGAGCAAATTGTTTTCGCGATCTAAATACCTTCTAAAATGGACTATCCTGTGTAGACCGACAAAAAAAATTTAATAAAACTCGGTTCGGTGACAAATGTCTGTTCTAATCCAGTTCTGAACCTTCCACAGAGTCGTCCTTGCGACTCCCGTCTTCCTCTTCCTTTTGGTCGTCGGCCTCATCAGGCTGTGCCTGGTCGACTTCGACTTCCTGCTGTTTCGAGTTGTCGTGACCTGCTGCTCAGTCATTCTCATCCCTGCTTCTGCCTCACAGTTACGCGTACCAGTCGTGTCAGCGGCGGTCTCGTCAGCCTCCTCCATCTTCTCATCACCCCAGTCCTGTTCGAGCATCAGCCAAGAAAGACTGCTTGCAGGACTGACCAGAGGTTTCTCCCCAGCAGCTTCCGCCTTCACCTCACTCCCTTCCTCCTCCTTGGGGGCAGGCTCCTCTTGGGCAGGTGCTTCCTTCACGCTACCCTCCTCCTCCGCAATCCCTTGCTGTCCTTGGGCACCCGAGCTGGTTGTTGTCCCGTTCGGCTCAAGTTGCATCTGGCCTTCTGCCGGAAGGTCGTCTTGATCATCTAAGGAGAAATCATGTCAAACTCCTCGCCCGACAGCTCCGAGTCTCCTCACTCTGATCGTTGGACGCTTCGCGTTTGCCGCGCTCAGCAGACCTGCCGGGCCCCTTCAGCTCGAGCGGGAGCACGCTCAACTCACCTGGTGGAAGCCTCTCGGAAGGGAGGGTCGTTGGCTTCTGCTACACCCACAATACTCAGCGACCTCCTCCTCCTCGCTCAAGGCTCTACCGATGGCTTCCACGGTGATCCCTGCCTCAGCTGCCTTGCCTCTCGTGAGCCTGCGCTGAACTCCCTGCATCTCTAACACGTTGGCGTCCTGAGCACGACGGTCATACGAGCAAGGCTGCTATGCACGAGAACAATTCACCACTCCATTGTCCATCGGCACGTCTGACTCATTCTGAGCCACTGTCTCTCTTGACCGGACACCAGTCTGACGTCTCATGTCAAGAACAAGGGTTGAGAGGCGAAGGCAGCGCGAGGAGGAGGAGGAGGAGGAGGAGGAGGAGGAGGAGGAGGAGGAGGAGGAGGAGGAGGAGGAGGAGGAGGAGGAGGAGGAGGAGGAGGAGGAGGAGGTAGG